CTGGGTGGAAGGCCTGGGAATTTGGTCTTGGCATCTGGGCTAAGCTCCCGCAAGCATCTCCTGGCACAAATCTCCCCGATCGTCTCAGATCCTCACCCTCTGGGCTGCCTGCTCGACTATACGTTGAATAGTCGGAGGGGTAAATTGCATGAATCCTTCCTGTTCAATCCCTTCTAGATGAATTTTGGTGGCAAAAATCTGCAGAAGAGAAGAGGTGAGGAGCTGATGAGGGGCGCGTGGCAGGGCGGGTGTGTCGCAAAGCTGCAGCCAGCCCCAGAGGAACTCACCAGGCAAAAGAAATGGGCAGAGATCCCTTGAAAGTCTGCTATTGGCCCGCAGACGTCCGGGTCTGCATCTGACCGGTGACACAGCACGCATGCTGGAGGGGAGAGAACAAATGCCACTGGGAATGAGCACCTCTGTGGGGCCGGGGACACGTCCCGGGGGATTGCCCCCAAGGGCTGCTCTGCCCATGCCTAGCTGGCTGCTGGGCAGGGCTGGAAGCCTTGGGGAGGAAAGGGCATTGCAGGCACGGGTGTCCCAGTGGGTGCCCACTGCCCAGCCGGGTCCCACTTGCCAAAGACAGTAGGGGCCCTCCCAGAGGGTGGCGTGGGAGCTCCTGACACCCCCTGCCAATGCTCCTGGCCCCACGCTGACCGCCCCAAGAGTCCCTCTGAAGCCTGTAGGAGGGGGACTTTGCTCTCACCCTGCTCCATCGACTCGGGTGTCTTACACCTCCTTGCGGATGTGTCAGACACGAACGGTGGGTGTTCGGAGAGTCCCCGTCCCAGCAGCGCTGGGGCGTCTTCCCCAAATGCTCCTCTGCTACCTCTGAGGGAGAAGCGAGACGTGGGTGAGCTTGCAGCGCAGGCCCAGAGCCCTGTGGTGTGGAGCCACCCTCCTCGCTCTGCAGCCCCCCGACAGCACCGTCCCTGCCCTGCCCTCTCCGCACCTCACCGGCTTGCAGTGACGCACTGTGCCCAGCGTCCCTTTTTGATAGGCCTGCCCCTGCCACCGATCACAGTGGCCACTGTGACATCAGCACCCCTGGCCAGCGTGCACCCCGAATACAGGCGGGGCACCCTCGGCCACACACCGCCCACTCTGACACGGCCACCGCATCACAGGGCTGGCTGTGAAGCACACAGGAGGGGACCCAAACTCTCAGCACCCATCTCACAGGGGCGGCTGCTCCAGCAGCAAGTGCAGAGTCGGGGGCCAGCTCAGGACATGGCTTCCTGGTGGACGCGGAAGTGTTCGGTTAACGGTTGGACTCGATGACCTTTAGGGCCTTCTCCAATCTAAATGAGTTCTGTGACTCTCATTACCATTCTGCTATTACTTTATCACCATTTGATATGATTTCAATTGTCGATTCCTTACCATTTGATCATTACTTCATAGAATCATAGAACCATAGAATAGTCAGGGTTGGAAAGGACCTTAAGATCATCAAGTTCCAACCCCCTGCCATGGGCAGGGACACCTCGCTCTAAACCATGAGGAAAGCCCTTTTAATTAACCCGCCAAGGATGACTTCCCTGAATAACCCACCTGCGACACCAGGACAAACACCAGACCCTGTTTCGGGTGCAACCAAAGTGGGACAAAAGGAATCGTGGAATAGTTTGGGTTGGATGGACCTTCAGTGGTCATCAGTGGTCAACACCCCTGCAATGAGCAGGGACTTCTTCAACTAGATCAGGCTGCCTCGAACCACACCCGGCCTGGCCTCAAATGTCTCCAGGGATGGGGCATCTACCGTCTCTCTGGGCAGCCTGTGCCAGGATTTTACCACCCTCATTGTAAAGAATTTCTCTCTCACCTCCAGCCTCAATCTTCCCCCTTTTAGTTTAAAAGCATTACCCCTCATGCTATCGCAACAGGTCCTGCTAAAAAAGTCTCTCCCCATCTTTCTTACAGGCCCCGTTTAAGAACTGAAAAGCTGCAAAAAGGGCTCCTTGGAGTCTCGTCTTCTCCAGGCTCAAGAAACCCAACCCTCTCAGCCTTTCCTCAGAGGAGAGGTGCTCCATCCCTCTGATGGTTTCTGTGGCCCTCCTCTGGACCCTCTCCAACAGGTCCATGCCTTTCCTGGTTGCTAGGCAGGGCTCCAGAGGGCTCCAGAGCTGGATGCAGGACTGCAGGGGGGGTCTCACCAGAGCAGAGTAGAGGGGAAGAACCCCCTCCCTCCACCTGCTGGACACTCTCCTTTGGATACGGCCTGGGACACCGTTGGTTTCTGGCCTGCAAGCGCACACTGCTGGGTCATGTTGAGTTTTTAGCCAGAACCCCAAGTCCTTCTCCTCAGGGCTGCGTTTACCGAGTAACAGATGTTAAAACACTCACCTCAAGCAATAATCTGCCTCTGTCTTCCCAACCATCTCTTGCTTCACTGAGGTCTATGGGTTTACAAAATAACTTCAATATCACTCTCAGAAACACTCGTATTATTTTGAAGTGTAACACCAGAAACATTGCTTTCATCTGGTAATACGCCTCTCCCAGATACTTTACTATTAAGACTCCGCAATGGAGGCAATTTAGACTTCTCTTTGGGTTTCCATTTTGATCGTTGATTTAGCTGTGGTGAGCTTGTGGTTTTTGAATTTGACTGGCACCCAGAGGGGAGACCTACTGCTACATTCAAAGCCTCACTGCCCAGCTGCCTCAGTTTTTTAGGTGGCTTCTTCACTGCAGGTGACTCTCCTTTCCGCTTCGTGTTTATGCTGTCACCTCTCTCTTCCAAGTGCCAAGAGAGCTCAGAAACAGGAAGAGCATTTGTCAAGTCTGACTCCAGCTTTCTAAGGTTATGGCAATATTTTGATGGGTCGTATTTCATAATGTGAGTCTGAGTTAAGGAACTAACCCAACACGATGCTTTTAGCAAGCAAACTTCAAGTCCTTATGGACAGGCTGGATTCTATGTGAAAGGACAACACAGTCCTTTTTCATCTCAGAACCTTAAGCCTCTAAGCAGCTGACTTGCAGTCTAAACAATGTATTCAAATCACACAAGCCCACTGCAAGATTTACTAAATCACACAAGCCCCCTGCAAGATTTACTTAGGGAATCCAGTGAATCAACATTGGCTACTATGTCACACTTCCAGCCTGTGAAGCAAATGTTTCCCTGTATGACAAAAGAAAGAAGGGAATCATGCCTATGCCCAACCAAGAGGAAAAGGATATTTTCTTTTTCTGTTGACCCCTGAGGTGCAGGATAGGCAAGACTCTTCCAAATTTGCCAACAACCCATTTCTGAAAGAGAAGAAAAATAACCAGTGTAAAACAAGCAAGGAATGGAAGTAACCCTGTAATAAAACAAGATGCATATTCTTGGATAACAGAAACACTCATAAAGAACCATCTGTGACTAGCTTTTTTTTGTCTACACTCTTCAGTGAGATTTATTTGTACTGAGCAAGTTAGTCAGCTTCCTTCACAAAAGACAAAAAAAAAGAACAAAGCCTAATCCCCCCATTACCCTCCGAAACCACTCTGCTCAGCAAAGAACTTCGAAAGCTTTGCAGAAAGTATGATCTTTGTTACCTAAATGTTCATGTTCAGTGCTTTCATTGCAAATTTTACTTTTACAAGCACAAGACCATGACCCTGAATGTGCAGAAGCACAGAAATTAGCTCCTGACAATCCAGATGTCAAAGATGTATATGCTGTACAGAAAGAAGACACACACTCTGCCTACGTGCTTTGAAGGGGGACACAAAGATGTTTCTAACATAAAGGAGTAATTTAACATCACAAAAGAGTCTGATCAAGACGAGTTTTAGGTGTTACAAAGAACACCAGGAACATTTTACACAAGGAATAAGTCTACACATAAAGTATTTCCTTAGACTGCTTTTCACAAGTTGGATATTTCATAAAGGTTTCTTTACATAAAGGGTAGAGATCTGACACAAATACAGCGGTTTGTTGGGGTTGGGTAAATGCTCGTGTTCTGTTCTGAGTGTTCTTCTTCCTTCCAGTGATGGAGGGGAAGCTGCAGTCCATGGTTGGTATCAGCAAGCTTCTCTGCATGTATAGTGAGTAATCCTGTGGCTCTGCGGGCCCCCCATTTAACAGACATCATTCCCTTCTTTCCATGCAACAGCATGTGAGATCCCCACTGTGCTCTGCTGCAGGCTGGAGGCCAGGGGAGCTGCTGCAGCACCGTGCATGTGGTGACCTGCGAGGCTGAATTCCAGCAGCAGCAGGTGGATCTGTTCTGGAGGATTCTGGATCCAGGACCTCACACAGCTTTGCAGATGAGTAGCCTCCCACCCTCCTCACTGTCAGCCCTAGCATCCCTGTGCTTAGCTGGTTTCCTTCAGTCCCTGCACTAGATGAGCTTTAAGGACCCTTCCAATACTTATCACTCCATGATGCAGATAGAGCAGGAACAGGGCTGGCTTTAGCCCAGTTCAGTACTGCATTTTGATGGAGCTTCAGATTGTCTGACCCCTGCCCTAACCTCTCTCTCAGAAATACCTCACCTGTGGGCCAGTGAAGCTGACAAACCCCTCATCACCCACTGGGGCAGATCAGTATCTCCAGCAAGTTGGTGTGTAGCAAGGTGCCTGCTGTGTTGCTCTCTTGCCACACTGCCTGTGCTCTACATACCCCATTGGCACACAGGCAGTCACACTGATTGAGCTGATGAGCACAGAGTTCTGTGCAGTTCCTTTAATCTGCTTTTTATGGTCTCAGGGCTGAAGCTGCTCAACCCCAGTCCCAGTGTCCTCCAGCAGTGTTGTTTCTGTTGTCCTCAGTAGGAAAGGCAGGAGCAGGAGCTGGGTGCTGCAGTGGTGCGGGGTGGAAGGTGCTATCTACCCTGGGGGGAGCTGTGTCTGTGAGAGCTTGTGTACTTCCCAGGCTCCAAAAGCGCCAGATGCACAAAGCCTCTGTGATGAAGTACAGGGAGCTTGCACAAGGTGAGGGTTTGCTCTGCAGCTCCACACATGGGTGCTGCTCCATTACCATCTCTGCCACTCCTCTGAGTCCCCCCTTGCTGCATGGTGCTCCCTCTCCCCTCCGTGATGGACCCAGTGCTGACCGTGCTTGGGGGAAGGTGTGTAATGTTCCACAGCACTGAGCAGCACCTGCAGATGAGGCCCAGGGCTGGTGTGGTGGTCCCCAGCTTCTACTGGAGCTCCCTGGCTCTGGAAGGTGGGTCCTGCTTGGGTGCTGGGGGTGATGGTTCATGGGAATGGAGTGATCTGTGCTAGTGCCAGCTCCACAGATGAGGCCTGGACTGAGGTGATCGGTACCCTCACAGCGATTGCCGTCAGGTTTGAGATGCTGAGCACTGCTCACCGCAGTCAGGTAGGACAGTGGTCTGCACAGAGACAAGCCGTGACAGAGACATGCACACAGCAGTGGAGCAGCCTGGACTGTGACTTGTATCTGTCCTCAGATCACCCTGGACCTGGAGGACAGCAGCATCTTCACCAAGGGAACCAAGAGCGGTGCCTTTGTGATGTACAACTGTGCCCGGCTGGCCACGCTCTTCAACACCTTCCAGCAGGCTGTGGAGCAGGGTGAGCACCACCTGCAGCCCTCATGGCCACTGAGGGGCTGTTCCTCACACCTGGAGCCACAGGGCATTTTTAGCAACACACCCCCACCCCCCACAACCCACCCCACCACCCCAACCCCCCCAAAAACAAAAACACCCACCAACCACCCCACACAACCCCCACAAACCCCCCCAACACCCCCCCAACCCACACACACACCCCCCCCACAAACCACACACCAACACAAACAAACACACCAATGAGACAAACTGGCACAAAATCACAAAATGGAATATAGAAATCTTTAGAATTAGTTTTAAGTAATGTTAAGTTTGATGGCTTTGTAACAGTAGCAATGGAAAATTACTGAGGTGCAGGATACATAGAGAAGAGTGCAGCTAGAGAACATAATGAGAATTCTCACAAGATAAATCGTTATAGTTGGCCTAGTTTTAAGAAAAACAGTCTAGAAGAACAGGACACAGGGATAAGGAGTATCTGGGAACCGCAGGTGTCCAGGATGGGCTACAGTTATACTAACTGATAAGTAGGAGGATGGGAGGATTATTATGTCTCTGGTGCTAACGAACCAATTAAACTGGTATGGGCATCTACTGCATGTGCTTCAAAGGCTGCCAGAAGTGATGAAGATTGTTGGAAGAAGTAAACGACCCTCAGAGACCACCACCACAATTCTGCACACATGCGGGGAACTCTCTGGAAAATGACGTAGCCTCATGAATAAGTATGTATGCCCAGGGTGTATAAAAGGACAGCTTGTGTGGCAACTGGGGGACACACATTAGGAGGAGTTATCCCCCGTGTCTCCCGACGCCACAATAAAGAATACCTGCTTGTCAGCTTGAAAACTTTGTTGGCAAGTTTGTTCCTGGAGTTTTCTCTGAATCAATTTGGCAACCCAGATGGGACCCTCTCTGCTCGGCTGCAGGACCCGCTGAGGACAGGGCTCCCTAGGGCCCTCGGGAATTTTTCCCAGAGGGACCCCTTGACTCACTTGGATCGCTGTAGAAGCAGACAAGAACCATCTCATAAAAGGTATTCTTTTCTTTTATATAGTTTGTAAGGGGCATCTCGGTTTGGTAAACTGGTTTGGTAAGCGTACACATGGTTTGGAAGCCTTCCGTAAATCGAGATAGGAAATCTCATAGGTAAAGGCATATACTCGGCTGCTAGCATCCGTTTGGTGTACACCCAGAAGAAGCAGGGGTCTTCCTGTGGTTTGGTTCCTGCAAGACACAGGGGGTGTCTTGTGGAAATGGTTTTGGATCTTGTTGGTATTTATTTTGTGGCTTGTTACATTAAGGATTTTGGTCTCATGATTTTGGTATCAGTAACAGACTGTTATAACTAAGCAGGGGGCATCTTGTGGTTTGGGTCCTACAAGACGCAGGGGGTGTCTTGTGGAAATGGTTTTGGGTCCAATGTGCTATTAACAGCCCATAAGGGATTTGATTCAGTGATGCAGTCAGCATGGGTCCCTGAATAGGTTAGTAGAATCACCCTCCGATACAGCTGGCTGTCCAGCATGGTTCCCGCAGTGGGATGCAGACAGGCTGGCCGGACACAAGGGTCTTGTCCTTCTTGGGACACTGACAGGATGGTCAACTATAAAGAGTTCAAGGAAACCCCCCTATTAATGTTATTCATCTTATTTTGTGGCTTGTTACAGTAATGATTTTGGTCTTGTGATTTTGGTACTGGTGACAGGATAACTGTGTTATTAACTGTTGTTTGTTTGATTGAATTTAAGTTTCTGCCTTTGTCTCAAGTGTTGTAACTGTGTGGAGTGTGTCTGGGGGATCCCGTTTCTGTGTGCGTGTGTGAATGTCAGATTGATAATGGAGAATCAGCAGAGTGAAGAGATCTTGAAAAAGAATCCTTTTGGGTGCATTTTGGCACACTGGAAAGAACTTGGAGGGTCTCCTGGGGGCTTGGTAAATAAGAAAATATTGGTAAAATATTGTAACCAATGGTGGCCTTTGTATACTTTGGGAGATCAGGAAAAATGGCCTAAAATTGGAACTCTGAACTATAATACATTGTTACAATTGATGTTGTTTTAAGGGGGCAAGGAAAATGGGATGAAGTAATGTATGCAGATACGTTTTTCACTTTAAGAAATCACACGGAGTGACAGACTAAAAGAAAAATTAATACAGCTCCACCAGATTCCTTAATTTTGGCTTTGGAAAAGGACAGGGAAAAACTGAAAGTTACGCTGGAGATGCTCAGCTTGTGATATTGAGGAAAGATGTTTAAAGTTAAAAAACAGTAATCAGGAACATAAGGTGGAAAATCATGTACCACAGGTACCTCCGAGAGGAGCACCCTCTGCATCTGTCCTATCTGATATTGATAAGGAGGAAGAGATTGCTGTCACTGGCAACCAGCGGCACATCCACATTCAGAGTTAAGAAGGGGTTAAACCAGAAGCGCAGTTGCAGAGGCAGGCACCTGCAGGCCCTGCAGAGCAGGGGGAGCCGCTGTGAGAAGGAAAAAAAAAAGGGGAAACCAAGGGGGAAAGGAGGGGAGCTCGAGCAGCTCCTGTGTTTGAGCGTGGGAGGAGGGATGTCGGGAGGAGGTGGGGGAGTGGGCTCCTCTTCTGTGGGACCGGACCGGTGTGCGTGCTATGGGGAGTTTGGACGCTGGAAGTGAGACTGCCCGGGGGAGGGGGGGCAGTGCCATGGCGTGGCTCCGGTGACTGAACTGGAACTAAACTGACGGGGAGCTGGGGAAATCTAGCCTAGCAGAACCACTGGTTACATTAAAACTAGGGACTAGAGGAAATAAAGTGGAATTTTAGTGGATACAGGAGCAACTTATTTGGCGTTAAATCAGAGAGAAAATAATTTGTTACAGATGTGGGAGCTACTGGCCACCAAGAAAAAGAGGGGGGAAAAAAAAAAAAAGAGAGGAATTCTTCCTGAAATCTTTAAAGTACAAATTGGGAAAACAAATAGGAATGCATAAATTCGTTTGCGTGCCAAATTCTCCAAAATCTTTATTAGAGCGAGAAGCAACATTTAAAGAAGGCAAAATGGAATTCAGAGTTAAAAACAATCAATTAATTGCAGTTTTGAGTTTATCTTTAATTCAACAGAATAGCAAAAAGGAGGACCTCCCTGAAATAGAAGAAATCCTTAATCAGGTATAGCTGGGAGTATGGGCATCTGAAGTTCCAGGTAAGGCGAAAAATGCTTTGCCTGTTAAAGTAGAAATAAAAAAGGGGGGCCTGCCCAATTAGAATAAAACATTATCCCTTAAAATTACAAGATCGAAGGGAATAAAAAATCATTGATAAATTTTCAAATATAGATTATTAATTGAATGTGAATTGGAATATAACACTCCTATATGGACAGTAAAGAAATATGATGGGGAAAATTGCAGATTGGTTCACAATCTCAGGGCAATCAACAAAATTGCAGAGGATATTCATCCAGTAGTAGCTAATTCATATGACTTATTGACTAAATTGAATAATAATCAGAAATGGTCTGCCATCCTGGATTTAAAGGATGCTTTCTTTTGCTTACCATTGGTCAAAGAAAGCCACAATTATTGGCTTTCAAATGGGAAAATCCTGACACAGGAAGGGAAACTCAATTAACTCGGACAGTATTATCTAAAGGGTTTAAAACAGCCCAGCAACTTTTGGAAATCAGCTAGCATGAGAACTCGAATCATGGAAGCCACCTGCTCAGATGGGGACTCTGTTACAGTATGTGCATGACCTGTTCACTGCTACAGAAACAAAGGAAGAATGTACACAGTGGACAATGGAATTATTAAATTTTCTTGGACTGAATGGTTATCGGGTATCCAAACAAGGCCCAACTAATCCGAACCCGAGTTTCCTACCTGCCATATGAAATAACAGGAGGACAGAGAGAACTTGGAACTGCTAGAAAAGAGGCCATTTGCCAGACTCCACGACCGTCGACCATCAAGGAGCTCCGGACATTCCTGGGAATGACAGGATGGTGCAGACTTTGGATCCATGATTATGATGTTTTGGTAAGACCACTCTATGAACTGTTGAAGGGAAACCCTCCCTCTTTGAACTGGACTGATACAGCAGAGGGGGTTTTTAGAAATTTAAAAACAGAGCTAATGAGAACTGGAGCTCTGTGACTCCTGGATGTGACTAAATCATTTTGGCTATATTCTTGTGAAGAACAGGGAATAGCTTTGGGGGTCCTTGCTCAGAAACTAGGACCCTACAGATGGGCAGTGGCTTATTTTTCAAGACAGCTGGATGAAGCGAGCAAAGGATGGCCCAGATGCCTAAGGGCTGTGGCAGCAGTCGTCATGAATATTAAAGAGGCCCGCAAATTCACCTTCGGACAAAAGATTACTGTACTAGTGTCCCATGTGGTATCAGCAGTCCTGGAGCAGAAAGGAGCCCACTGGTTATCTCCTTCATGTTTTTTTAAATACCAGGCCACCACTGTAGAACAGGATGATATAGAAATTGTGGTCACTAACATTGTGAATCCAGCATGCTTTTTGCAGGAACAATCCGAGTTTTCTCCGGATCACATAGCACTCATGGGTGCTGCTCCACCAGCCCCAGCCTAGGGCAAGGCTACCTGCTGGCCAGGTGCTGCCCACTGCTGAGCAATGCAGGGGAAATGCCAAGGGGAGACTGCAGCACCCCTGGGGCTGCTCCTGCTGTGCTTGCGGTGGGGAAGGGCTGCCAAGGCTGGCCAGACCCCACCAAACCAGCAGAAACTCTGTCTTGCAGGTATGTGAGTTCCTGATCCAGCTCAGCATGGATTTCAGCTCCTACTACAACTGGGTGCACGCCCTGGGGGTGAGTTGGACGTCCCAGCCCTAAAGTCCTGGGGCTGCATTACATGTGTACAGCAGCCACATGGGAAACAGGCTTTGGAGTGCCTGTAGCACAATGCAGCCCTGCACCAGCCCCTCAAGGATCTGTACACAGGGTAGAGAAGCAGCAGGGCCTCCAGGGCCAGCCTGCTGAAGGGCCATACAGCCACCAGCCCCAGGTCACTGCTTCTGTCCCCACAAGCTGTTCCCTCCTCTCTTTGAGCAGATGT